TCTTTTATTAAAGATGAATCTTTGGAATTAGGACGAGATGACTTTAAAATTAAAAGTACTTCTTACTTACTTTTCTTGGCATCGACTCTTAACATTAAGAGAATCCGAAAAGTGGTAAAAAAAATTATTAGACCTTTTTAATAAAAAAATTAAAGTTATTCTCATACAAACGGACAATAATCCATCTCTGGCATATCGTTTCTGTTTTAAATTAATTCTAAGACCGGAACTAAATTTAGAATATAAAAACATGAGATAAAGTGAGTGGACCAGTGTTAGTGGGGCAAGGTCACCTAACCAAACAAGTCGATGTAAATAGCTATATCAGAAAGCATTACCTCGAAATAATATTCACGACATGACAAAACGACATATAAGAGAACAAATAACAGATCAGGGTAACATAGAATTGAATAAGCGAAGTTGCATTCAGTAGCTAATGCGAGTGTATAGGTAAAGTTTGTGTTGACGGAGGCGTCGTGAAAGCCGACCAATGGCGCGGCACCACATCGCCATAGCGGCCGCAGTCATGTGAGCGCCGGGCGCCATACGACCATGACCTTCACATGCGTGCATTCCTGGTACATTCGATGCAATGGTTATATGAAATTTGTTATGGCTAATCATTAAGTTTGTATTTAAGCTAGTCACTTAAGTGTAGATTTAGTATTGTTTATGTACAACTCTGAGTGCGATGAAAATATTCTTTTTTCTAATATCAAAACGCATGTAGATTAATTATTTATTTACATTTTAGCGGAAGTCTGCTGATTTAATTCATTTGTTTGGACATAATTAAATTCGTTATTATTTTATCGTTAAATCTAGGTTTATTATTCTTGTGAATGAATGACGTAATGTCTAATTTTTTTGTTTTTTACCCAAATTAATTCAAAGAATTTACATTTAGTTTATCCAAGGAATATCATTACGTGCAGTTATCTAAAACTATATATGTAATTTCGTTTTAAATTCGTGAGAACAGTCACACTGTTTTTTTATTTGCATAATGTAAATAATTAAAAAAAAACACAACATTTGATGTCACATAACTACAGCAAATGCGTTTGAGTTAAATTTTAAAACTTCCATTCTTTAAAATGATTAAAAATACACGCCGATATCCATATAGGTAATCTATATCTATACTAATTAAATGTGAAAAGATTTGTATGTTTGTATAGGAATAAACTCAAAAACGACGAGGCCCATTTTAAAAAAATACTGTTAGAAATTATCACATTATCACCGAGTAAAATCATACTTATCATACTAATATTATAAATGCGAAAGTTTAGATGGATGAATGGATGGATAGATGGATGTTTGTTAGAGTTTGTAACCTAAACGGCTGAACAGATTTCGTTGAAATTTGGTATAGATGTAGAAGATAGTCTGGAAGAACACATAGGCTACTCACTTTTGTTTTTTTTTAATTCCACGCGAACGGAGTCGCGGGCGAAAGCTAGTAGGATATAATTATTATACTAGTTTTCTTTATATTACGCAGACAAAGTCGCGAGCATAAACCAGTCAAAACATCGTATTAGTGAAAGTAAACTTGGCAAGGATTTTATATCTCAAATGCCGTCAACTCAGCGTGTGTCACGTGAAAGGTGCACCGGACACTATTGGCAAAGTAAATTATATGATCATTTTTCTTTAAAAATTGGCAACTTGATATACATTATATACTAATAATAGACGAAACTATTAATAGAATACCTGTACGGAAGTAATTATTTACGAGTTTCATTTGAACATATTAATCTAAGTTAACTCGAGTTTCTTCCGCCACTTCTTCTCCCAGCGCTAACGCTTTCCGAAGTGGTAGTAATGTTAGATGTAGTAATAATTATAATAATGATCAGATAGCAGCAACCGATCAAGTCGAGGTTCGGCCCTCTCGGGCGCCCTTGAATCGGAATGCTAAACGCGTATTGAGTGACAGCCCAAGCCGAGGTCCCCTCTCGGGGACCCTTGTGCTAAGTCACTCCATGGAGCGACCACCGAAGCGATCTAAGAGCTCGGTGGCCTCCCAATCCGGTAATAATAACGAAGTAACGGCCCGAGCCGAGGCTCCTGAGGGAGCCCTCGAGCCTAGTTACTCTTAAAAGAGGTTTAGGCTAAGCGCCATCCGCGCTGGGCCACCACAAGCCCGGTGAATCTGTAAATGCCTCTTCAAGGCAAACAGTGACAAATCAGTCACAAAAAAAAAAAAAAATCGATTTGAAAATTATTACTTATTATTGTATATTGCATATCTCATCATATACACTTGTATCCGAAGTCAAAGGTCTTTTGAAATAGCTCGTATTCAAATTACATTTTTCAAAGGCATTGTTTTAGTTGTGAAACGCTTAGAGAAGTTATTGAAAAATATGAAAAGCTTTGAAAGATACGTAATATTATCTATGAACTAGATACCTAATTCTTTTTATAGCTTTAACTCTAAGATAATTATTATCAAGGTAAGTTACTTTGCCGTAACATATTAGTAATAGTAACCTTAGTAATCTAGAAAGTGATATTATCTTTGTAGACAAAGTCTAAACGAAGATAACGAGATAAACAATTCAATATATTTAAATTCAATTAAATTTGTAAATTATATAAACAGATTATTGTCAAAGTCCATATATGGCGGCTATTGCGCTATTTATTTTTTTATTGTTTATTTTTAAGTATAACAAGCGAACAAGTGATCATCGGAATACGTAATAACGAATCGACAGATGTCCATAGACATACACAGTTTCAGATGTGTTGCCAACCATTAGACAAGAGGATGCACAGTAAGGGAATATTTACCTTCCTGGTACGAACACTTTGGAAAGGGGAAAAGACTAAAATTAAGCCTCTAGCACACACTCATAAGATAAAATCTTGCATCTACTTGACGCCTGTTTGTAGTGTGGTCGTGGTATTGCACTGGGCCAGTCGTTCCTACTTTGCGAAGATTTGAAAGTGGGCTCTACAACTTAAAAATTGTAAGATAAAGTGAAGTAACACCTAAATGGTAGCTAATGTCATATAATACAATAGTAATGTGAGAAAAATTATTACACGACGTTTAATATTTTAGTTTTAGCGTAAAGTGCTGATCGATTCTTTTCAAAATACACTAACATCTCAATCTACGAAATTTGCCAGACGAGCACGTGGTAGTCGTAGTTGAGATGGTAAAAGTAACGATTTTCTTAGACTCAGCTGTGTCTCGTAGACCTGCGCATTGGAGACCTCCGCCACGTGGCCTGTGCCGCACCTAACTATAACCTAAAAATACTAGATGAATTACTTTACCCAATTAAACCGAAAACGTAATACGAATGATGATTTGAAAAGATACACTAATGTGATACTAGATTTAGTCCGCGACTCCTTCCGCGTAGAATTTAAAAAAAATCGAAAGTAGCCTATGTGGTCCTCCAGACTATGCCCTACATCTGTGCCAAATTTCATCAACATTCGTTGAGCAGTTTAGGCTACAAACACTAACAAACATCCTTCCTAAATTTTCGCATTTATAATATTATTCGGAAGTAAGATTTAACATCTAATAAGATAAAGGATTCATTTCCATTTACCTATTTCTATACCATAACGTAATAAATAATTAAAGTTCAGATGGGATTTCCTTGCCAACCCTCATCTTGATTGACTTTCTTTTCGTCGTAATCTTATAATTGCGTAGTTTCCCATAGAAATGAGTACGTAGTAAATCCATACAATAGGTATTCCTACAGGCATGCGCAGATCAGAAATGTGCCACGTGGCGGTCTCCCGTTGCATAACTTTTGCTTAATGCGACACCGGCAAAGTCCTGTTAGAAAACTAATATGGCGTCAAATACCAATTGAAACTACATAACTTTTCTATCACGAAACTACTCGTATACTAATTGAATGCCGAAAAGAGTAACGAATTCGATTTATTCTGTTTTTAGTCGTAAAGGATTTTAAAGCAATTCAAATAACTTTGAATTCTTGAAGTTATCTTAATGTAAACATTATGTTGGTAGTTTTTTTTAATTGATCGATAAGGATGTAAAGGCCACATGAATGTTTGTTTTCGGTATTATCTCTGTTTATTTATTTTGTCCTTTAGACTTTTACTTTTTGGGTAGGTAGACGAGACGGTTTATTTGAGAAACTCTATCAGGTGTTTGGTTTTTTGCAGTCTAACGTTTTTGATGTATTTATTGATTTTCTATGTTCATTATTAACCTAAACAACATTAATATTAAAAAGGTTATCGACAAAACCAGTTATATCCGACAACTTTCTGAAAACAAGTACCAGGAAGTCAGCAACGAGCAAGTATGTAATGCAACCACGCCTGCGGAGCCCTTCGTGCCAATATGAATGTAAGGTTTCTCTAACCTCTAGAAAGTGCATTTAGCCGCGAAGATATTTTATTTACCCTAAACTGTTAATGCTTTTGAAAGGTTTCTATAATATAAAGGTACTTTATAAGCGGTAAAAATAATTACATTTACCAGAAATTCTTACTGGAATTTATAAGAAAAAATATTCATTGAATACGTCTGAGTGATTAGCCAATGTTTTGTTAGAGTCAGTGTGCGACCTCGAACGAAATCGTACTTTGAACAAAGCGTTTACGTATTGAATAATTAAGACAAATATAAATAACTATAAATTAAAATTTCATTGAATACGAAATGTGTGTCAAATAATTTTTGTGCATTGAATTCTTCCGAAATAAGGCAAATGCTGATGTCGTAAAGGACATATCGGAACAATTATATAGCAATGTGAAATGCAATTGAACACTGCGACGACCGAGGACCGACGACGCAGCGGAAAAGCCCGCCATAACGTAACGTGGACGCCACGAGTACGCCATGCCGCGACACAAGTGCCTACAACGGCAAAACTTAAATATTTCTTGTGGATATGTAAAAAAAAATTGCACTCTCGCTTTACTCCTAGCACAGATGGTTCTATTATGTGACGTAATATCCGATAGCAGCATATTACAGTGCCATGTGCCGAACACGTCGGCGCGCCGCTTAGCCATACTAGAAATTCCAATGCGGACCTTATAAATTTAATCGTTTCCAGAATCACTTTACAATATAATCCATTTATACTTGTCGAAGACTTCGCAAAACCACAAATATGTAAACTGAACGGTGACGAGAGCGCGGATGTGATGTATATCCATATTATGTTAGAGAAGCGGCTGTGTCGCATTAAATATGCGACGGACGCGCGCGGCAGCTGCGAGGCAACTGGAGTCGGCGGCGTGGTGAGGAGAGCGGCGAGGGGGGCCGGCGGCGTCGCGTCGTGGTGCGGGGCGCGGGCGTGGGGGCGCCGGCGGCGTCTGAACCGCGCGTCTCTAGCCAGCAAGCACTGGCGAGCCGCCTTGAATTGTGCAACGTCAGCACGCGCGTGCGTACTCGCGCCGCCTCATGTGCCCGACGCGGCACAAAAAAACCCCAAGCTATTCACCCGCGCGTTTACTTACGCCAGAAAGTACCCCGACCAGAACTCGTTCTACGCCGCGCCAATGTTTTGTTCGATTGCAATTATCTGCAGGCGGCCGGCGCACAGGCTGATTCGCCGAGGTTAGGTAATTTCGGCTTATTTTCGTGCCGCGAAGGTTATTTATGTTTTTATCGCGGCACTGATTGGCTTCGCATTCTCTTGTGCAGTTGAATGATTTGCAAAAACGTCGCGCACCGATGTGTTTTATTGTTCGGCTGGGTTTTTAGTGTCATGTAAGGCGAGCCGAGCCGTCTTGCTAGTTTTATACATAAACTGGTTTGTTTAATTTTAAATGCTATATAACTTGAAATCCCAGAGGGCAATTGTTAAAGAAAATATAGTTTACAAATTGCTATTCAGAATAAAAAAACAATTGTAACAAGACTACCAAGGCAACATTATCAAAACAAACCGTGATAAAATACGGTTTGCTGATAGAAAAGCGGTGACGAATGATAACCTTTATAAATTGACATCAGTAACTTTGATAGAAAAATTTATATAATGGGTTTTCACTAACGAGAAGCAATATTTTCATCCCTGTCTCTCTCTATAATAATGTGGAGATAACAATACATTGTACACGTTCAACAATGGAAGTCCACGCTAATATTATCAGTAACATTGAAGGTTGTTCAATACGTATATAAATCACGTGAGGAATGCAGTCTCTATGGTGACGAGTATGTATTAATTTTATGCATTTATTGATAACAATTTTATTACAACAATAAAATCACAGAATTACATTTGTAGTTGCTAGCCATTTAAAAAATATATATTATTCTTTTTTTCTACAGCTGTTAGGATTTAGATTAGACTAGCTTTCGCCCGCGACTCCGTTTGCGTGGTATTAAAAAGAACAAAAGTAAGTAGCCTATGTGTTCTTCCATACTCTGCTCTACATCTATGCCAAATTTCATCGAGATCCGTTCAGCCGTTTAGGCTACAAACTCTAACAAACATCCATCCATGCATCTAAACTTTCGCATTTATATTAGTTAGATTTAGTTAGAAATACATGCTAAATATTATCTTTGTCTTGATAAATTCTCTATATGCAATTGAATTGTCTTAGATTTTTATCATATTCAAAATTTGCACGGTTAAAAAAGTTATTTTAATAGTAGTTTTTTTTTTTTCATTTACTGCATTTTTTAAAATGCCGCTTCTTTAGGAAATAATCAACCCTTATTTTACTATTTAACCGAATGTCTTTACTTTTTGTTAATAAACCTTGCAAAATTTGCAAATTCATCAGACCTTGTATACAGACGCTTGAACAGATTCTCAAAGAGCATTGGACAGAAATAACTTCACATGACGCATGACTCGATGCGAAAGTTTGTGTAAAAAGATAATTGACAATAGAATTGGTTAATTTAAAACGAAATTTCATGACCTTTGCAACCTGAAACACGATACTTTCCCACTAAGTCATTCGGTAATACCAAAGATGTCAAAAAATATTATTATCTATACTATTATAATAAAGCGTAAACACACACTTCTTTGTTGCCTAAGATGTTAGCATTTACAGCATATTTTTGAATAATTCTTTTTTTAATAAAAATCCCTACATTTACGTCACGCTTTAGGCTTTTTCACGCCATTAATCTTAGGTGGTAAATATTTTGGATAAAAACCCTAATGTGGGAAAGAGACCATAAGTTGTTGCCAACATCAAGGAAGCAAGGTTGTCATCATGTCATGTCATTTTGACATTTGTAATTAATAATTTGACAAATGTAAACAATAAAATAAAATTGATATAATATCACGCGAATGAAGTCGCACGGGAACAGCTCGTCTCAGCTATTTTCTAAGAAAATGAGTGTGATGACAATATTCACAGGTCAATGGTAACAATGTTTAAGTCAACCAATCCTTAACTAACTAAATAAATGCTTAGAAGGCTATTGGTTACTTATGACTGTTAAAATTACATATTTATAACATAGATATCAAACCGAAAATCTACATACTACCCTTTGTTTTATGTACATGAAAATGGACCTTTAAGAGCGTATCCTACTCCAAAAGTGACGCATCAGAAGTTACTCTAGTATTGTCGATGTCTATGGACATCTGTTTGCCTCTCTTAAAAACAAAGATTCTATTGAAACGCATTCCAGTATTCCCGGGTGAATACGTTATGATTCCTCAGTACATTAAAAGCGAACGAGGCCAGTTTAAATATAAACACAACAAACGTGGAAGTTGCTTACTCGTATGACTAACACGTGGAGGCTAATCGGAGGTCGCTGCATTCGGCTGATCCTCAACACTTCCGTAAACAACCTGCAGTACTGTTAAAAGAATTCTGTATGCAAACTATGACCCGACACTAACCGTGACTCCGATTTTGTAAACATTTGTTAGCCAATTTTTAAGGAAAAGTTTCATGTTTTCCTGGTACAAGATCTACGATATAGACATAGTCGTAGTGTTTCAACTAATCTTACTAATATTATAAATGCGAAAGTTTAGATGGATGGATGTTAGTTAGTGTTTGTAGCCTAAACTGTTGAACAGATAAAAATTGTCAGACGTAAAGTATATGGCCTGGAAGAATATATGGGCCACCTAATTTTTTTAATTTCACGCAGGCGGGTTCGTCGGTAAAAGCTTATTAAAAAAAAACAAAGTTGTTTAGAGATTTTTCGTTACACGTGAGAGCAAAAGATACAATTTAGAGAAAGAGAGCGAAACATTGCAATTTTGAACTCCTGATCTTGAAATATTCGTCTACAATTAAACGTCCTTATTACGTATGAGAACTAGAAACATTCTATAATATTCACTCTAAAGTTATCTTTGATAATAACAACTGTATCGCGTTGCATATTTAAAATTTTCTCTTGATTAATCACCGAGTAAAGTCCATTCACTTTCCGAGTTTCCCACACAGCGCGGCCAACGGACGTGTTTAGTTATTCTAAAACAATTCACAAATTTAACTTTACTGTTAAGAAAACGGAAAGAGAATAAACCTAACAGCTGTGAATAAGACATAAAATATGCAGAATGTTTTTCTGTCCGTAACTTTATTGTTGTCGTTATGTTCCCAGTCACACGAAAGTTTTAGCACAAAGCCATTGTCTAAACGATATTTGTGAGACGAGTCGAAAATTATATTTTACACCTATTACGGTCGTATACTAAACGGATCTTAAACTTACCGCTTACAATCTGACAGACGTTAAAATGTTAATGGAATATTAAATTTAATCATGATCTTATCAGACGACGGTGGCTAGTCTAAATGTCGTTTTAGTATTCGGCCATTGAATTGTATACGGGTTGGGTTTTACCGCGGCATAACTTGGCGTGTTTTAGGCAGATTTTGTTTGATTAGAGGTCAATAATTATTTCGTGAACCACGAAACGGGGACCGAAGCCGAGGTCGTAATATATGACCACGGTACAATTTTACTAAAAGACAATTAATATTAATAATAACAATAGTAAAGACAATTAAACGATTAGATATAAAAACCGTGAGGGTAGATTAAACAAGGGTTCCTAGAACGTAATACTTTTCGATAATAAACAACATTATTCAATAAACGCATCATCACACCTGAAAAACAAAACTTTTGCAATTCTAAACAAGTTCGAGAAGAAATGTTTTAACTACGCGCAGCGGGTCACGTAGGCGCGGTTATTTTTCTAGTACAAGGGCGGGCTATAGGAATGTTTTGGTTGTGACGAGATGAACTGAAAACATCTGGTTGGATAACAGGAAACAATAGCAGTTGAGTAAACATCGTTGACATTGGGGTTTTGTAGTCAGTTGTTACTGGAGGTGAGATCACAATAATTTGCATGACAGTTTTGTCCTTTCATTCATTCGGTCTAATATTTCAATGAATGAATGACAACATTCACTCCTTCAACAGTACGTACCAGTAAAAGTTAAACATAAAAGGTACAATGTTCTAAGATAAAGTGGAACAACTACAGATTATTAACGCGATTGCGACTATTTGGTTGCTCGAAGCTTCCACAATTAAGAGTACTGGCGTATCAAATCAAAAAATATCGTAAGTAAGGAGCCATCATAAAAACAATCTAAAACATTTACTTAAAAAAAAAACTTTAGTATAGACGCACAAAAGTAGGGTCTGCAGAACCATTAGTTGTACGAAAAGCACACATAGAAGACAAGCGTCAAGTGGAAGTAATTTCTCTTGTCTGATGAGTTCCAGCAAAATTCAAATCCTTTTTTGCGTTCCATCAACTAACTAATAAGTATGTGATACAAAGATTTGAGGTGTATTGTTCTTATAATGATTTATTTGTCCAACCGAGGTAACGTGGTTAGATATATGCGGAAGTACCATTTGTTTCTTGTTATCACTGTAATTAGTACTCAGGTGAAGACACGTGTTATCAAAACTTCTGATCCTTTAGCATTGACCTCCATTTTAGTTGTGAGACTTGAAGATAAACAATTTTTTAATTGTTAAAAATCTCACGAAAATAACAAAATATCTCTTTATATTTTGTTGACGACTTTTTACTCTATACCGAATTAAATATGCAGTGAGTGATATATTAAAACAAAATTAGAGAAACCAAATATTTAAATAAAATATACTCCAAACGACTATTTAAGTACCCAATAAACGACTGTGAGTGCCACAATTGAATTTTATTTATAAAAAAAATACCTGCGAAGACTAGGCAATCATGAACTAGTACGCAGTATTTTGATATTCCTGCGCGCGATTTCAAACAAAATGGCGTTGTGACCTTGA